GCAAGAGACTGGCCCAAGGTCACACAGCACAGTCAGGCCAAAAATGTAGTTTCCTGACTCCTGGCCCAATAACCTCTCCCTGTATGGTGCTGCCTCCCACCTCTGTGCAGAAGCCACTCCTGCTGGGAAGAGAAGGGTATACAGCCCTACCTGCTTAGTTTCCTTCCCCTCTACTGACAGTCTTTCCTTCACTCATTTCCTGAGAGCCCTGCTGGAGAATTCAGGACAATTAAGGCATACTGCTTACCCAAGAGGCACTCACAGTTGAGTGGTCTGGAAGCTTCTGGCTTCTACCACTAACAAAGACATATTTTTTCTAACTGGTGGAAAAATGCTCTGAGGCCAATTTTTTTTAATGCACTGTTTTGTTTGTTGCTGTCTTAATTGTTGCCATGTTATATTTGATCAGTTTAATGTTTTGATTTTGTGCTTGGGCCCCAAGGCAATTCAGTGAAGGGGATGATTTGGAAAATCAAGGAAATAAAGAAATTGTCCACAGAAGAGGCAGCCTCCCAGGAGCCAAGGATAAAACCTAAGTGCCTAAAATGAGTTTTATTAGGAACAAAACAAAAACAAACAACCTGTTGCCAGACAAAAGGTATTAAACCATCCTGGTTTGTCTTTGTTTTTCTTTTTTAAATTTAATACCAGATACCAGTTCTCTATTTCTTCCAAGGTCAGAGAGAGATGGAAGACCCAGTTCCTTCTCTACTGCCTCCTAGAAGTCTTCTACATTTCTGTGTCCAGGCCTGGATTCACGGTGTACGCCCTGCCTGTTCTGCCCTCCCCTCTTCTACAGGAGATGGGCTATAAGCTCCCATCATTGGCCAGTACTTATTGACTAGGACTGGGGATAACACAGCCAACAGGAGGACCCCTAGTCTGCCTTCAGGGAATTTACTAAGGCAGGCATTCTCAGCTGGGGCTAAGGGGATGAAAACTGGTTCTTGGAGGGATGAAAAAAATCTTCCATCTTCCCAATGATTTGCACGCTCATCGCCCTGTTCACTACCTCAGTGAGTGGCCCATCCAGCCACCCAGTCAGTAACCGGGGCATAACCATCAATTCGAGTTGCTAGTCCTCTCTGAGCTCAGGTTCTTGGTTATTGACCTTGTGGCTGCCCAGTCCACAAAGGCTTTCACTCTCCCTGAAAATTGACCCCATCTGTCTTCAATTCCCTCTCTGCCCAGCCTAGATCCAGGGCCCCAAAATTGGGCATCTCTTTTCCCAAAACTTTAGATCCCTGTGCCCTTTCCCCCTAACCATCTGGCAAAGCCCTGGGCCTGGGTAAACCCCACTAAGTACTTTCCCCTGCTTGCATGTGGGCAGGTGAGCCATGGTGGGGGAAATCACTCAGCTGACAGGACACACGGCATTTAGTGACCACAACCAGCTGGGTTGTCAACACTGTCAGGCAGTTGGGGATTTCGTGGGCAAGTTTGCTCCTCAAGTCTCTGAATGCAAACTCTCCTCCTTCCCTCAAACTCCTCACCACCTCTTCCTCGCTCTCAGCAGAAGACCTCACCTCCCACTTTGCAGAAAAAAATAGCAGCTCAAGATGAAATCTCCCTTAACATCCCACTACAAACCTACATCTACATCTGCACCCGTCCTCTCTTTGTTCCTTCTTTCGGTTCGAGAGAAGTCATCCCTCCTCCTTTACCAGACCAACCCCTCCACCTACGTGCCTGATCCCATCGCCTCGCACACGCTCGTGATCATCGCCCACTGATTATCTCCCCTATTTCCCACACCCTTCATTAATCTCTCCCTTTAACCTGCCATCAGCCTGAAAACAAACTCAGGTCTCTTCCACCTTTTAATGTGCCTCCCCCCAACACACACACTGACCACATCACAGCATCTCTCTCCTCCCCTTCACACAAATTCTCAAAAGACCCACTGCCTCCTTCACCCCTTGCTTTCAGACCACTGCTACCTGACCCTCTCCATCACTCTGCAGAAAACAGCACTCCTTTTTTTAAAGTGAGATTTCTTTCCTTTTTTAGTTTTATTAGGTAGAATTATTACAGTTTGACTGCACATATACATTATATTGCATTTAAATACATATATACAATATACTGCACATTTTTTTTTAGTTTACATATATGTACTGATCATTGCAGAACAACGCTCCCTAAAGCCACCAACAGTCCCCATGCCTGTCATGAACCAAAGCTGGTGGTTCCATCCTCATCCTTCTCAACTCTCAGAGCATTCCCCATTGACTCCTCTCACCCTCCTGATACTCTTGGCTTCCTTCCTTTCATTTCCTTCCCTACGCGCACTCTCCTGGGTTTTCTCCCACCTCTCGGTCCCTCCTTCTCAGCCTCTGCAGGTATATCCTCATTTTCACAGCCCTAACCTGTGGGTGTGCCTCTGAGCTCCATCCTGGGGTGCCTTCTCTTCTCTTTCCAACTTCATCTCTCTGAGCAATCCAGCCCTCATTCTCGTGATTATCTCTCTACTGACAACTTCCCATCCTCATGTGAGTCCAAACCCAGGCTTCCACGTGCCTACTCAACATCTACACGCAGTGTCCCGAAGGCCTTTCGAGCTCACCATGTCTAAAGTGGAACTTGCACTTTTCACTCCCCCCTCCTCCTCTTTGCACTCATCCGCCCCCCACCCCATCCCAGTTGTCTCCAGTTTCCCCTGTCTCAGTGAAAACCACTGCCTGCCTGTTTGCCCAGAAACCTCAGAGTCCAACCTGACACTCCCTCTCCATTACCCTCCATTCCTACACATCTCTATGATGATTTTATTTCCTGATGATTGGAATCTTCCACCGCTGTACAGCTGCACTGCCACTGGCCCTGCCCCCATGATGTTCTCCCCAGATGCCTGCTTGCACCCCTGACCTTAAGTTGTCTTGCATCTACTCATACACACTTCACTTTTCACTAGGCATTCACACAGGTCACATTAAAATGCAAATGTCATCCTGTCCTTCTTAGGCCTACACTGTCAGTGGCTTCCCATCACTCTGAAGATGAAGAGAAAGATCCTTAATGTGGAATCTGTCTCTGCTCACCTTCTACACTCCCTTATTCTCTGCTCTCCCTCGTGGGTTCTGCTACAAAGGCCTTTTCTTGCCTCTTCTCTCAGCTATACCTTCTGCCTCAGGCCCTTTGCACAGGTTCTTTTGTCTGCCTAGGATTCCCCCCATACCCCATCCTCTCTTGCACATCATTCAGATTTCCTCACAAATATCACTTCCTCAGGGAATCCTTCCCTAACCCCTCAGAAGAGATCAATCCCTCCTTCCTGTCAAATGCTTTCACAGTAACGGCTAACATACACACGAGCGCAGCGCTATCCTTTGGAACTCTTCTATGCACTTCTGCTTAGACCTGATTTCCTCCTCGCAACAATCCTATGAGCTAGAATTTATAACTATCTCTATTTTACAGGTGAAGAAACTGAGGCACAGAGAAGTTATGTAATGCACCAAGGTCACCTGGTTAATGAGAGGCAAAGCTGGAATTTGAACCCAACTAGTATGACTCCAGCATAGTTTTAAACACTCTACTATTCCATAAGAAAACACTATCCCTTTTCCTTTCTGCACTTACTGTTTGTAACAATATATTTGTATGACCATTTGTTTAGTTTGTGTCTCCCAGATTAGACTATAAACTCTGTTGGGCTAGAGACAGTTTTATCCCCAATAGTAGGTGCTCAATAAATGTTTGCTATATAGCTGAATGTACATTAGTCCCCTCCCTCTTGCTCACTCACCACCTTCCAACAATCACCTGGTCCTGTCCCTGTTTCTTCCTGGAGCAGCAGTTCCTAAGTCTAGAAGGTTCAGGTATGTGTCCTAAAATTGGATGGAAAATGTTATGGGTCTGGACACCTTCAAAATTTTCTACAGCAAAGGCTAGGTGGTTCATGTTGTCCTCAGTTTCTCAATGGGTCCATAAAGTTAAGAACTGGTGATTCAAATATTCCCCAGCCTTGCTCACCCTCTCCCTGCCAACCTCCCCTCCACAACTACAACACCCTCACGTCTAGCTTTGTTCTCCACAAATCCATCCTCCATGCTTGGGTCATAGCAGTCTTTTAAAAACACATACCCAGGTCACCCTCCTGCATAAAACCAGTCAGAGTCTATATTGCCCTTGGAACAGAGTGCAAACTCTGCTGAGGGGAGAGGGTGCTATAGGCCCTGTTAACTTCTCCATTCTTTTGTGCCTCACTCGTTCCCTCTTCCCCTCAACTCTACAGCCCAGCAGTACAGACTCGGTTTTACGTTTGTGTTTCCCAGCCTGTACCAGTGTGGTTTCTCCTGTCTGTACTCATGCAGTGACCTCTGCCTGGGATGCCAGTCCTCTCATCTGCACCTAGAAATTCCTACTCCATCTTTAAGCATCAGCTTAGATGTCTCTTTGGGGTTAGGGGCCCCTCCTTCCTGCTTCCATAGGCTAAGCCTGTCCCGGACAACGCACAGAAGGCACTGAACCATAGTTTTTTGGTTGCCGACTGTCTCTCTCCTGCCCTGTGAGCTTTGAGAGCAGTTCCCAGGTCTTATTCAACTTTTTATCCCCCAGTTCTAGACAAGCGCTAGCCCAAAGTACGGTGCTCAATAAGGATTTGTTCAGTGAATGAATGATGACAAATAGTTCATGGGTTCTAAAAAAATCTGTGAAATGAATAAATGAGTGGGTAACTGGAAGTTCGGGCCTAGAGAGAGATGCAGATTAGGAAATTCAGAGATGAGTAAAACGCGATTGCAGCTGTCAGACATCTAAGCGGAAGACAAATCCCTTGAAGGAGTCAGTCTGAAGGATTTAAGGAGTCATTCAACTCACGGCCGGCCCAGGGAGCGGGTTCGAGTTTGGCCACGCCCTCCCTCGCCAATGGGAGGTCTCGTTGTCCTCCGTGTCTCCGCCCCTTTCACGCACCGGGGCGGGGCCGACCACGCCTGGAGGTAAGACTACACGTCCCGGCATGCCGCGCGGCCAGAGCGGAGGAGGAGCCGGAAGTGGGGCGCGCGAGGTCTAAGGGCAAGGGGTAAATGGCGGGCGGGGACTGAGGGGGGCGTGCAGGTAAACCAACCGGCCAGAGGTCGCGGGCATGGCTGAGGCCAGGAAGCGGCGGGAGCTGCTTCCCCTGATCTACCAGCATCTGCTGCAGGCGGGCTATGTGCGCGCAGCGCGGGAAGTGAAGGAGCAGAGCGGGCAGGTAAGCGTGCGCGGGCCGTGTGTAAGGGCCGCGTGCGAGATCTGAAGAGAGGCGGCCTGCGCCCCCTTCCCTGGCGGCCTGGCGGGCGCCCAGAATCGTATCCCGCAGTGCGCCGGGACGCGGCCAGGGGTGCCGAAGGAGCCTCAGCCTCTGCCCCCAACCCCTGCTGCTCCCAGTT